AAGGCGGTGAGCAGGCTGATGTGTATTGTGATGCCTCTACCACGTTTCACTGTATTTCCACCTAAACATGAAGCCAAGCATGGCAGATTATGATTACTACATCAACGTTATGTATAGCGATTGCGTGTGTGTGTGTTTGCGTGTACAAACAGATGCACTCAATTTAAATACTGCGAAATGATCTATCAAATAAGTCGGCAACTGAATACACAAATTAATCAGCATAAATCTTATTACAGTACAATAATACCTCTCCCCATAAATAAGTAAATAAATAAATAAATAAAAATTAACCTGAATAAATAGCCTACATAAATACCTTAGATAAATATATAAATAACTATTCCAAAACTACGTCGTAATGGAATGCATGAAATTAACTGTACTACCAGTCATTTATGTCAGAGAACAATTTACATTAAGCATAAACAAGATTAGCAATAGAGAAGTCAGACACTGTTGCTTCATTGCTTCTTCACTAAGCTTGGCTAATGACAATACTAACCACACCTTTCAATTTTTTACCTTTAACTTTTACTACCATTTTAACACCTGATAATCCCAGTGTTTGTGTTGATGATCTGTTCTTTTTCACAGTCTTCTCATGGTCTGTGGGCTGAATACTGTAATGTTCTGCCATAATCAACGTGGGATTGGACGAACAACATTAGCAGAGCAACAAGCCTGTACTGTATGTTAAAGGTTACCATTACAGCTGCTGGTACTGGGTCATTCTATTTAGATTAGTCACGTGATATTTTGTTTAGACCACCATATTGGTAGTTAAATCGTGTAATATTTTGTTTATACTGTACTGCTATATTGGAGGTCAAGTTTGTAATGGCGACACGCTGTTTCCTCACATCAGCTATGGATTTCCTCGTCTATGTTGGCTGACACAATTATCAAGAACAACAATTGTCTATATAGAATCATTTGATATTTACTGCATGTGAGATTACTAGCTGGCATCCCAGTAGTGTGTAGCGAGACCCATGGCAGCTTAACAATTAACAACTCCTCACTAAAACAAGAAAATTGCATGTAAACTCGACCATTCTTTTAGCAGGACATTTTTTGGTTATTTCCCAATTTCAGTTAAAATATGATGGGGGGTATTCTGGAGGCTTGGATGAGTAACTAGGATTATGAAGATAGCTAAGGCTGGTAAGATAAACAACTTCACATTTTTTGGGGGAGTAAATAAGTTTTGAAGTAAATTTCAAGAAAAAACAAAATAAACTGCATCCCATAACTGCAGTATTGCATCTCAGAAACCCGGAAATACTTTATGGTGTTAAAAATGGTGGTTCGGGCCCGTGGGGTATTATGCAGCTTTAGAAGCATATGTTCGAAACTTATTTATTAAAGGCACAGGTAATTTCCACAACACGTCCGCAGCATTATACGCACATCAACCGGCACTCTTACTTCCCCGAGTGTGTTGAAGCTCATCACAACTTGATAAATAAGCCAATACTCTCTTGTGTCAGTCTAGCCCCAAGTTCTGTTTATTAACCCCTTGTGTACAGGCTCACTCTGTGCCGAGTAAAACCGTAAAATATTAAAGGGTATCCCCACAGTGAAGGGGTTTAAGAGTTATTCACTATTCAATTTATGCATAAACTGTGTGCGAGATGTTAAACGAAATATTAAGTTGTAAAATAAAAATCAGAGGCTTACAAGGAGCTTGTCAAGAAGCATGAAACTGCTAACACAAGTCCTCGAGAAATTTATTAATGGTGGAACGACCTGGTGTGATAATTAATGATTAACTGACAACTGTAGTGTCGCTGCCCTTCATGTTTTTGTCTAAGTTATTCTTAACTTCTTCGTGAATTACAAAGTTTAAAAATCCCCCAAATTACAGGTAATGGCAGTGACAGCGAGTAGCATCTATAAATAGAAGTGAATGTTTAATTGGCAGGAGGTAAGATTCCTCAGTTAAGATGGTGAATGGAAAGAAAGCCATATTGATACGGGCTTAGTCAATTCTCACTAGACGGCGAGTTTGTCCTCCATGGTGATGTAAACACAGATCACGTGACTAAGATAAGGGATTCCTATATCGGAGAGAATAATTGTCCAATGGTAAGTTACTGGTGGTTTAGTTGGCATTAGTGTAGGACTTGTTCTAAAACATTATCTGGCCAGAACAACTATGTTGTATTAAGCTTATTGTTTCTGTATCTCTTATTGGTTGGAATGTTTTGATGAGGTGCACAATCAAGAAATGGTTTGCTTTATCTTTTTTCGTGTTGGTATGTTGATCAGTCTTGATGAAGCTTAACCATATATGTTGAATGACGTCGAAGACCCTCCGTTTTTGAAACTGAAGCTGCTGACGGCTGGTGGTCTTCTCTCGGATGAGCTGGTGGACACGGCTGCACCTGAGCCGAACCTGTGGCCAACTGCAGACACGCTTGACGCTGATGGCCCCTTGGGTCTGTTGGCACTTTGTCCAAAAGCATGAGACGGAGCCCCAAAGTGAGAAGCTGCGGCAGAAGAGAGAGGTGGAGGGAATCTTGACCCTATGTTGACTTCCTCTGAAGAGTCATTCTCATAAGACTCCCTCTCTGCTGATGGATGGCCACCACCACTGTAGCCTCTGGACGAAGATTCTAAGTCATCGGTAAGTTGTCTTTGGGAGGGAGCCGGTGCACCAGGGAACAGTGATGCCGTTTTGAAATGTGGATGTCGGTAAAATGGTCTACGAGTAGTCGTAGGTGGTGCATACGGTCTACGAGTTGTGGGAGGGTGTTCATACGGTCGGCGTGTTGTAGTCGGAGGCTTGTAGAAAGGTCGCGGCGTTGTTGGTGCCTTTACAGGTCTACGAGTTGTGGGAGGAGGAATATAATAAGGTCGACTTGTGGTGGTGGGTTTCACAGGTGATCTAGTTATGGGTCTCGGGTAATACGGTCTGGGTGTAGTGACGGGAGAGCTGTAAGGAGAAGGTCTCCGTGTGGTATATGGTGAAGGAGGAGGAGAGTAAGGTGGCCGAGTAACAGGCTCATTAGTGGCCGTCCTGTAAGAAGGTCTCCGAGTAGTAGGAGGTCGAGTTGGGGGTGAATATTTGGGTCTGTAAGTAGTAGGTTTTTGGTAAGTAGTCTGAGGTTTGTGGGAGAAAGACGGGCGGCCAGTTGGTGGCTTGTAGGAGTAACCTGACGACTGAAAAAAGGGGAAAGGATGACACAAGTAAGAGGTTTGCACAATCACAAGGTGGACGAGTCATACATCAAAACTTATACAAATATTTATTAAATCTTTTCGTTCTCAAACACTTCACTCGGAATAACTTTTTTTTTTAATCATTCGCTCACATCACGTCAAAATGACCCTCTCTCTGTCTTCATTTACAACTCGCCACTCATCTCTTTCTCGATACCATCAAGCCACAAACATTATTGTGGTCATTACACACACACACACACAGTCCCGAGTTACACAATCAATTTCTTTATTCCACTCACACGCCCCAGGATCATACCCTCTATTGGTCATCCAACACACACACACACACACACGCACCTATCCCTCGCTATAGTCGCCTGCTCATTCCACCCATGGCTCATACATTCCCCCTCATTCTATCCACAGCCAGTCTGCTTCTCACACTAGGAAAACAAAGGATAGATATTGAAGTGGATGGTTTACATATCAGCATTATTTATGTATAAAAATAGAGGCACCAAGAACGTTAAGTGACAGATGAACACACAAGGAGGACAGTGTGGGCAAGGTGACCAATGTGTGATGGTCACTGTACATGCAAGACTGTAATGGTAAGGAAAGGTAAACATACAGAACACACCACAGCACAGCACAACACACACTATAACATGTAACCAAAGGCTTTAATGAACAGACAGTGGAAAGAAGAAACGTTAATAAAGTGAAGGAAGAACCTGAACAACAGAACCTTCAGTGATAGGACAGGACAGGGTTGGGCATGACCTGGTGTAAGGTGATCTGACCACATGTGACCTGGTGGTAATCGACCTAATTTGATGTGACACGATGTACCTTAACATTTAAAAACCTTGGTGCAACAATAAGAAGTGATGCAACACACAATATGTCCACTGTCATATTTGACATGACCTACATATGTTACCATAACCGTTGACACAGACTTCAGTTTGTTGTTCTGTTCATAGTTTCTGTTGGTCTAAATCTGCATGAAGTTTCGTGAACATGTTTATCCTGCAACAGTTCATCTCTGGAAAAGGACAAATGTAGCAGGCACTCAGACAGACTGACTTCTGCCACAATAGTACATTTGTCTGCATTTGTTCCCTTACCAGATGTGAACTGATGCAGCAAAACCTTGTCTGGCAGGACCTGCCAAAACCCAGCATAAGGTGACCTAACACACTAAGATCCCGTATCCTGACGTGCAAGTTTGTGCCTCAGGTGTGAGGAGGCAGCGGTAAGGTGCACCTCTGCCCAGTTCGATATGAACGCATCAGGCAACACCTTATTTCATTAAGGTTGTTAGCGCCGCCAACGTAATATTGTCTGGCGTCATAAACTCAGGGACTGCGAGAGGTCACATCCTTTCCGATACTCGAGACCAACAATGATTTAAACCACTGCCAAAGTGACTTCCTGAGGACGTCTTGCAAATACTCTCATGTCGTGTGAAGTTGTCACAAGGAACTTTACACACACTCTGGTGGAAGGATATTGCGAGTTATTGAATGCAGCTCAAGAAAGAAGTAGTTTTCATAGTGATATTTCTTTATAAAAAATTTCAATTTAAACAATTGTGATGTTGCCTGGAGCACTGAGATGGTGCTGCAGACACACTCAAGTAGATTAATGTAGGTAATTGTGTTGATTACGTGTAGGAACGTATGTAGGTATATTTAATATGGATTAATAGATACATTTCTTCAGGTTAGAAAATGAAAAGGAAAAAATACAAAAAAGTTGTTAGTGTGGGGAAGCCAAAGCCTCAAAGTGAGGTTCAGAGGCAGGGAGGAGGGGCGAGGTCTTACCTGAGGGGCGACGCCCAACATCTTGAGGGAGGGCGGCACATTGAGATTTCTCGGGATGCGGACATGACCGAAGTCTGCCAAGAAGGCGCGGCACCACACACCCAAAAAGTCGATGTCAAAGACAGTCAAGTCGCCAGGTAGGGTAATGACAATCGTCTTGCCGGAGTACAGCTTCAGGGGCTCTTCAGACCCATTCTCGTCAGGGACCACCTGGCCTGAGGGACCAGGGGTCGAACCTTTGCCAACCCAGAAGTGACCATCTGCAAGAAATGTTATCATTAACTGGTGCTCCCATAAGTCACGTCGTGATCTCTCATGCTTGTAAGGGTATATTATATAAAAGTGCTCCTTCTTATATCCATTTGTTTATATATATATATATATATATAGACTTGGAGAGTACTTAATTCTTTGCACCAAGTATACATACATACATACATCCTAGACAGGTCTCTTAAATCTTCCATCTCTTTTCTATAATACTGTACCTTCTTGAGTTTTCTTCTTCCTCTTCTTCTTTAGTCTTTCACTTTGTCTTGTTCCTCTGTAAACCCTTTTCCCCCTTTTATTTTATCTCTCCCTCTCTCCCTCCCTGCCTGCCCCTTTTCCTTACCCCATCTCTCTCCTTCCTCCCTCCCCCACCCTCTCTACTCACCTGGGGCAGTGCCATCATAACTGAAGTTGGGGATGAGGAAGGTCTGGGCGTCCACCACCACGATCCTGTCGGAGGAGACACCGTGTTCCAGGGAGGGTAGTGCGTCGATCTTCTGTGGCCGAGGGTAGTTCAGGTTGCTGTTCACCATCACGTGCCCGAAGTCGATCTGTAAAGGAGGTCAGGTCAAGAGAGGGAGGTAGTGGCATTATAGGTCATCTTCGGAGGTCAATAGAGGAGTAATTTTTGTTCTGGGTCATGTTGAGAGGTTAATAGAGATTGGTAATGGAGTTTATTGTCAGTTAGGCAGAAGGAAGTCTAGTAGAAAAGAGGAGGTGGAAGAAGAGAAGGAAGAAGAGGTGGAGGAAGAAGAGGAAGAAGAATATGAGGAGGAGGAGGAGAAGGAAAAAGAGGAGGAGGGAGAAGAGAAGGTGGTGTGGAGTAGGTCAGACGTTACATGAAAGAACAAATAAGTCGAGAAGTCAAGTAAGGAAACTGAAATTATATACCGGTAATTCAAGTGAAGGAGAGAAAGAGGTTAAGTGGTTAGGTAGGGAAACGGGTGGGGGGGAGAGGGAATCAGGAGTCACTTGTAATTAAACGAGGTTACTGCCAGTGTTACAATAAAGCGAGCAACGTGAAGTTTGGCACCCCTAGCTTATGTCATTTTAATATTAACCAAGCTAATGCTGATCCAACTGAACTGACCTGACCTGACCTGACCTAACCTAACTTCGCCAAACCCTCCAGGTAGCGTAAAGGTGTTCTATCAGGTGAAATAAGCCAAGGTATCTAATCTTCACGTGATCCAAAGAGTGGCTCCCCCACTCCAATTTGAATACTAGTCTGTTAATATAATATCTTAACCCTTTGAGTCCTGAAGGGTTAAGAAATCGCAGTCAAAGGGTTAAACCATCGTCGTCAAAGGGTTAAACCATCGTCGTCAAAGGGTTAAAATAGCGTCGTCAAGGGGTTAAAATAGCGTCGTCAAAGGGTTAAAACATTGTCCTTACAGGGTTTTAACATCGTCATCAAAGGGTTATAACATTGTCATCAAAGGGTTATAATATCGTCATCAAAGGGTTAGAACATCGTAAAAGGGTTATAACATCGTCGTCAAAGGGTCACTGAACAGGTAAAATCCACGGAAAAAATAGCAAGGTAAATTAACTGTACAGTAATGTAAGTAATGTCTTCATAAGCTTCCAGCGACGCCTAGGTGACTCCCTACCGTGTCCTGGTCTTAAGGAAATCAATAACATTGTCTCGCACTATAAGCTGACAATATCACCTGAAGATTATAGGAATCCCTGCTTATTTCACCCAACTACTAACTTAACCTAACCATTAACAAGTGATTTTAGCCACAGTTAACTTAACCTAACCATAAACAAGTTAACCTAACCTAACCTAACCACAGCTAACTTAACCAAATCAAATATTAACCTAACTTTAACAGCGTTTTTCATATGCACGTGTATTTTGCATGTGTGTGTGTGTGTGTGTGTGTGTGTGTCACTACCCGGGTACTCACAGCGAAGGCGCGGCACCACACAGAGAGCCATTTGAGATCCTTCAGTGTTTTTCCCTCCGGCAGAGTGAGGGTGACGTCCTGATTGCTGTAGCGGCCCAGTGGATCAGTCCTGCAAAGATGGGTCAAATTTTACTACCAGGTCAATTTGGGAGAGTGAGAAACAGAGTGGGTGGGAGAAACAGAGTGGGTGGGAGAAACAGAGTAGGTGGGAGATTGACAACTGTGGTGTACAAGTAAACAACTGAGGAAAAGTGCCAAGTAAAGATTAGAAGGATAAAACCGTATCTAGACTCCAGACACTCAGGAGAATGAGAGACTACCGGATGCCGCCACCACAAAAACAATTTCCACAGTTGCCAGTAATCCAGGTTCCAGCCGAGTACTTTCTGAAAACTTTTCTGATTTTTCCCCCTTGAGTTAACAACAATGTTTCCCAAGCTAACTCCCATTTTTTTTCCCGAGAATTTGGGGGAGGGGAGGGGGGGGGGCGATGAATAATGCATAGTTGTGTAGTCCCCTGACGTGACCTGTTGTAAATCCGGGAGAATGAGTACAGTGGGGTGAGGGAGGGTAAAAGAGGGAGGGTGAGGGTGGGAAGGAAGGAGGGTGGGGAAGGAAGGAAGGTAAGGGAGGGAGGGAGGGAGGTTGAAGGTGGGAAGAGAGGCCCAGTAATCTTTATTACTCGACCAAAAAGAGTGCGACAATAACAACCACCACTACACACCTGGCCACCCGCGACCTATTGTGACTCGAGAATACCAACACATCCACCTACCCCACACGACACAAGTACATACTCTCACTAGCACCAGCACTTTGAAACATAAATAAACAACTACTGTAATGCATATTCGAGGCAACCACATTCTGGTATACTGGAGTCTGGATGTTCATATCTCACGAGGGGCAGCTTAAAGGTGGGCGGCTTCACCTTCACAGCACTTGCTACGCTTGATGTTAGGTCCTCGACTACTAACACCTTGCTCGGTACTATCGTGACTCGTGTGTGTGTGTGTGTGTGTGTTATTACGGTACTTGGTATGGCGTTGGAGATGTTAATAAGAAGATGAAGAAATAAGAAGAAAAAGAAGATGCCTAGGAATGAAATGACGTTCACAAACAAATAATTTAAAAGAGAAAGACAGATGGAAGGATTGGATAATTAAAATGGTAAAATACGGATAAACAGATAGATATGGATGATAGATACCAAGGCTTTTATTCTACTGGGATATATTAAAAAACTCAACTTTACCTTATTAAATGAATATATCTTTTTAAACTTCTAAGGAAATCACTTGACAGGTAGTGCTCAGGTAACAAGATTGTGTAATGAAGTGTGTTAATGAAGCAACATTTCATTACACGAGATATAACACACAGGTAAACACACAAATGAAAAGTAAACACACAGGAGACAGGTGGATACACAGGTAAACAAACAGGAGACATTGTTAAATACACAGGTGACAGGTAAACACACACAGGTGACAGGTAAACACACACAGGTGACACAGGTATACAATAAGGACTTAAGGCTCTCCAGGAGATTTTAAAGGCACATATGGAGACACTGTTTCCTGAAGGAGGGAACAGAAAAACAGACAAGAGAACTTACCCGCCGTTCTCGTCCGGGATGATGAAGCCTCTGTCACTGGGGCGGCCGCTCGTACCACCGTAGAAGAAGGCATCTGGAAACACAAGCCGGAGTTAGTACATCCTTTGTCTATTGTTACCTGTATTGTAACACTCTCGCTAGTATCACTCTAGAACAGTATCATGTCCTACCTTAATTCCTCCCTCACCTATCCTACCTATCCCTTGCCTCTCCCACACCTCTCCTACCTATCCCTCACCTCTCCTACTTATCCCTCACCTCTCCTACCTATCCCTCACCTCTCCTACCTATCCCTCCCTCCCTCCCTCCCTCACCTCTCCCACCTATCCCTCACCTCTCCCACCTATTCCTCTCCTACCTGTACTATTTTCCTGCGTTACTTCTATAAACCCATTTGTGTGGCTGGCGGCATAGGAACAGACTTGTATACAGCCCCCCACATAAAATAATTAAAGGTCTGAAAAACTACCTACAGCATTTTAATTTTAACGCTACAAGTTCCACCACTGAAATTTAACGTCAAGCCCTGAGAATATAACCCTATTAGGCCACGAAAGAAAATCCCCTCCGCTCCCTCGGTGATTTTTTAATCTATAAAGTTTACCTGGGATCACCTGAAGATTCTTAAAACCCTGATAAAGTTACCTGTGCAATTTTAATGTAAATCAAGGAAGTTATATCCATTAAATTCTCATAATTAACATCTTACCTGAAAAATAATAAACAGACACACACACACGCACGCACACACGCACACACGCACGCACACATACATGAGCACATACCTGGAGCAGAACCGTCGTAGGAAAATCCTCTGATGTGGATGGTGCGAGAGTCAACAGCATATATTTCCCCTTTCACCTGATGCTGTAGGGGTACCAGACTGCCCATCCGCACCCCATAGTATCCTGCAGCCTCGCCACCTGCAGGAGAGACAGAGTGAGTTAGTAGGTGGGTGGTGGTGGAGGTAGCTGGGTGATGGAAGTAGGTGGGTGAGGAAATTAAAAAAATATATATAAATACACAAAACAAAAGCATTACCAGTGTAACAAAACAAAAACAAATAATTATTAAATAAAAAAAATAAAAGACCAATTCAAAACAAAAGAAAAAACAATCACATAAACACTAACAAAATAGAACACTAATTTAAATGGAGAAGCAAAACAAGAAAATAACAACAACACTCTTGACCAACTTCCTCGTCATCGCCGGAACAAAGGAACAATTGTCGGAACAAAGGAACACTTGCCGGAACAACACAATACTCTTCTGGTCTTAAGGTGATGTAAGGATATACTGTACAAGGCTGCGTTATTATGGGGGATAGGAGGAGGGCTGGGGATAGGGAGGGGAGGCTGGGGGGATAGAGGGGAGGGCTGGGGGATAGGAGGGGAGGGCTGGGGGAGGGAGGAGGCTGGGGGAGGGAGGGGGGGCTGGGGATAGGAGGGGGGCTGGGGATAGGGAGGGGGGGATAGGAGGGGAGGGCTGGGGAGGTCGTCAAGGTTGGAGTATAAGAAGGGGGTGTGTCGGGAGGTGGAGGAAGTCAGTAGTAGGAGTAATAGTAATTGTTGTCGTCGTCGTCGTCGTAGGTGCAACATGTACACCTCATTCATGCAAGACCTCGTCCTTGTCACTCGGTATGAAAATCACAGCTGCTATCATTTCGTTTCGGATCTCGGGGGTAGACATTAACGACTTCCGCGCCCGAATTTTACACAAGTGACAGGTTTCCTTTTTTTTCTTTTTTTTTCAATTTGTTTTGGATTTCTGGTGTGTGAAGTGGGACGGCAATCATCCTCATTTCGTTCAGATTGAATTTTGATTCGGATTTTCGATGCGTTCGTTGTGGTACCGGAGTTATTGTTTCTAAGAGGTGTTAGGCTATTACAATGCTTTTTGAGTATGGCGTTGAAAAGTCTGTATCCGTAGGCATCTCTCTCTCTCTCTCTCTGATTGTCTCACGCGCACATTCAAAACCACCTATCCTACACAGACACACACACCCACCTACACCCCACCTGCACACCCTCACACCCCCCCACACCCCTCCTACACACGCACCCACATGCATCCTACACGCACCCACATGCATCCTACACGCACCCACATGCATCCTACACGCACCCACACACAGGGTTCTCTGAGCTGGCCGAGTCGTTATGCAAATACACCATCATCTAAAGAGGTTATCCACTTCAGTCTTCACTCATGACGGTCGGTCGTGGTTTGGACGTCACATTCTCAAAGCCTTACTTAAATCCATTTCTAAAATCTCAGAAGCGGGCCACAGTAAATTCACTCTCCATATACACTCGGGTTATATGAGCAAGTTTCAGTATGTGGGAAAAAAAACGTATTTTATTTTTTCAAATCACTAAATTCTGTTTTTCCGAGACCTATGAATGATGTGCATCGAGTTGGTGGATTATCACACGACCCTCTCATCCAACACGACCCTCTCCTCCAACACGACCCTCTCCTCCAACACGACCCTCTCCTCCAACACGACCCTCTCACCTACCCCATTCATTTCCGAAGTACTTTAATAATGCATTCTAATTCTCAGCGACTCACTGACAAGACTCCCGGCTGTCCCCCACTAAAAGACATAATCTACATGAAGGTCTGTCTGTTCCCTGTGGTACCGCGCTCACTGTTGCCTAAAGTAAGATGTGTTATGGTGTAGGTTAACTAGTTCAAGATGGTGGCAGGATACTTGGATTAATACGTGTCTAGGAAACAATAATTGTACGTCGATGGGATAAATATAACCCGTGTCATGTCCCCTGGTACAAAAATTTCACCTCTGTTAGGGGAATATTTTTCTCCCTAACTCGATATTTTTTTTTTACATTTAAGATTTGTTAAAATATTCAGTTGATTATTATACTAGGTATTTTTCATATCCCTACACATACAGTATTCACATTCCATCTCCCCCCAGAAAACGCATCTATCCATCTTTGAATTCTTAAAGTGTTCCTTCAATATCATAGTGAAGGCAAAGAGCAGGACGAAGCACTGACACTCATCGGGTGAAGGTAAACAAGGGAGAATTAACTTAAAACACATTCAAAGGAACAGAAAATACAATATCTTCTAAAAAAATAAACAAAATAATTACAAAAAAATAATTACAAAAACGTCCAAGATTCTTTCACTGGCTAAATTAACCAATATTTAAGACCCTCCAAAAAACACCCTCACGCGGGGTAAAGAAATTTAAGTAAGGCGAATATTGGGCTGAACTCCGGGGCGGAAACCATGGGTAACAAATTTTAAAATATTAAAATTTAGAATGATCTAGTCTGAGAGAGGATGGCGAGACAGAATGGTGAAGTGGAGGTCACCCAGCCGTGGTTCACCTGACAACCAACCTACACACATTGTCGTTTTACTGTATTTAAAACAAGAGTTACTGGAGGTGGTGGCGTCTGCCCTGGTCGTGGTGTATATTACCCAACATGGAGCCTCTCACACCTGGTACATATCACCGGGAGTGGAAATACCTTGGTATAAACATATCATCCACTCAAGTACACCATTTGTATCAAAATTTTGCAAATTTCTGGCGATTGTTCGTTGGGCGAGTTGATGGTAGAATCTTTTACCCAAGACAACTAAATTTTCTAGTCGGACAAATACACAAATATCCTCCGTCAGGGCTAAGGAACACGTATCCAGACACCCCCTACCTCTTTAGGAGCTTTTCCTCATAAAAATGTTGATCCATTCAATCTAAATTTATGGAAAACTCAGATAGGCCGAGATAAACCAGCTTAGGAGGAAGGATTATGTTTGGCAGCATCGAGTGATTCTTCAAGGCGACTTTCAAAAAGTTCATCACACAACCAACAGCGTGAAATTCCTTAATAATTATCGAGGGTTGTTGAGATTGCCGACTGTAGCTCTCATGACACCTGCTACAACACTGGCTTTACTATCCGTCTATATATTGGAGTCATTGTACCACATCATTGTGATAATAAACTACAATTTCACGCTTACTGGTGGACACATGCAAGGTGAGAAGGCAAGTACTAGATGACGAACAAAAAATGACCAGCAGCGATTACCTTCCACACGAGTGATGTCAGTGTGTCACGTAAGGAGCCGTGTTACTGCCAGGTCCACGCCCACAAATCTCACACGCCCAAAACCAACCCTGCAACCGGATAACTAAAAGCTCTCAACTTTCCCGCTACTGTATTGCAAACTAGTAAATGCCTCTTATACCAACCCATAACTCAACAAGCTACCCTTGAAACCACTCTCAACCAACCACCTTTCACCCACCACCTCTCACCCACTCTGTATGGGCGTCAACATCCACCCGGGGGGCAACTTGCATCAGCTTGGGAGGCCGCTGGGACTCCGTCTCTTTACGCAACGTCGACGGTGTGATGCGACGCCCAACACAGTTACCATGAGTCATCCCAGCAGCACTATTGTCGATTTTTGTCACTGCTGTATTATGCTACAGCTTGAGCCACGCCCAGGCATCAAAGAGAAATGTGTAGATAATGGAATAGGGATTTAGTTAGGCGGTGGATTATATATCTGGTTTATCAGTCGACCATGTTACACATCCGATATTTCTTTTTTCAGAGTAAATTAACGTGACTTTCCTGTTATCATTTCTGTGGTGGAGGTGATGGGGGCGTCACATCCCGTACGTTCCTGTGTGGTTCTTCTAGTTACAAGGTGACGTAGCGTTTCATGATATTCGACCCTGCCAGCCAGTAGTACTGTAGCCAGCTTCATAAACCTTATCTTTTGTTTCTTGGTCAGGGTCACCGTTGATCACGAGGTACTATTATTCTTTAGTACACGACCCTGTTATACGATTCCTCTCATTTTTATTTACATATTTTAGTGAGTGAAAGAGTTGAGAGAGGGAAGGAGTGAACGAGTGAGTGAGCGAGTGAAGGAGTGAGTGAGCGAGTGAAGGATAGAGGGAGAGAAAAATACGACTGGAGTGAATTACCATATTTTACGTATATCCTTAGTTGCACACAGTAATGCTCCTGATCACCACCGCATCTCCGCCTAGCCCGGCCTAATGCACTCCTAAGTGCGACGCTGGCGAGGCTCCATATGTGAATATCAGACGTGGTTATTGGAAAATGGTACGAGGGAGGGTGTGGTGTCGTGTGGTAGGGGATGTATGGTGGATGTGTGCAGGGGTGTGTGTGTGTGTGTGGTGAATATGGTGTGTGTGGTGAGGCTTTGGTATAGTTTCTAAGCCGGTTGGAGTCCAGCGGCCGGCCACTGAATAAGGCGCCCCAGTCGACCTGTTACAAAATGGGCACCTCACTTTACTGCTGGGTAAGTGAAAGGCGGTAAACTGCCGTACCTGCCACGCTGTTTCCATGTGTACCGAAGGCTTGGTCTCCAGTAGGCTGTATCCGCGTGTGGGACAAAATTATAAGGTTGAGCAAGAGCCTGAAAGTTTTTGTTGTTGCTGTTACATTAGATGTAAGAGGTGCTTTTTTTTAGTAAATTGGTTCAGTATCTTATGACTGTTGCTCCGTCGCTGTTACTGCCGCTGGTGACGTCACTGCCGCTGTTATTGCCGCTGCTGATGGCATTACTGCCGCTGTTACCGCCGCCGCCGCTGTTACCGTCGCCGCTGTTACCGCCGCCGCCGCTGCTGCTGCTGCTGCTGTTGTTACCGCCGCCGCTGCTGCTGCTGCTGCTGTTACCGCCGCCGCTGCTGTTGTTGTTGTTACCGCCGCCGCTGCTGTTGTTACCGCCGCCGTTGCTGCTGCTGCTGCTGTTGTTGTTGTTACCGCCGCCGCCGCCGCTGCTGTTGTTGGTGGTGTTACTACTGCCACTGCTACTGACGTTACTGCAGCTGTTATTTACCTCCTCCCTCACACACTCTACCGCCATCAATACGTTATCTCGCTTCCTCCTC